GGCGAACGAGAAAGTGTGTGTGGGTCGATAGGTGTCCCATGTTTCTCGTCGCACGTTCCTGGCCAAAAAAAAAAAAAAAAAAAAAAAAAAAAAAAAAAAAAAAAAAAAAAAAAAAAAAACCAAACCCAACGCACCTTGCCAGCAGCACTGACCCGCAGCAGTTGGCCTCCGCTGCTTTGCGCCGCGCAGGACAATCCCGGACCGCTCGCAGCGAGGCGGCGGGAGCTGGGCACGGCGGCCGCGTTGTCGCGCAGCTGCCTGCTCCATCCGGCCCTTCCCCCCTCCTCCCCGTGCGGCTCCGGCCCCGCCAGCCTCAGCGGGCTGCCCCCGGCCTCCAGACGCCAGCTGCGGGAAGAGACAGCGGATTCATTAGCCATTACGGGAGCGGAGATTGGTCCCGTAAGTGTAGTACATGTTTTCGTTCCGCGGTAGTGGCAGTGATCTTCCCCCCTGGATGGAGAGATCCGATGCCGCCCTAAGTCAGTGGATTGGTTGGTTCTTAGTGATTCCGGGCGGTTCATCTACTGAGGTCATTGGTCCCGTAAGTGTAGTTTTCCTCCCTCGGGAGGTGGTGGTGATGTTCCTCTGCTGGATGGCGAGAATCGACGCTGACCTTCTGTCGGCTAGCGGGGTTTCTCCCAGCTAGGTACCTCCCACCAGCGGGGCACCGCCCCCCTTCCGAGCCAAAGATCTAAACTCCCGACCGGTCTCCCAACATGTGTGGTAGTGTCATACATGTGTGAGGATAGGGCAAGGAAGAGGAAGGAAAGATCGCGCGCGGTCCGTGGTCCGCCTGTTACGGTCCTCCTCCGGCATTCCCCTGGTGTTGATTGAAGAAACCGATAAAACTACCGATCAGAGCAATCGGCCGTTAGAATTCTTCTCCAGACGACTGAATTCGTCCTAGATACATAGTGTCGAAAACCCTCGCCCTGTAGTAATGTCAACCTTTGGCCTTCCCATCATAGTCGCTGGAGAGTCAGTGGCAACCCTGGCTGTGAGATAACTCAGCCGATAAGAAGAAATGTGAATCATTTGCGCACATCGACTGCTATGGTTTTTAGACCCGTTAATGTTTTATCCCGGGAGACGGTGATGTTCCTCCCTGATGGATACTGAGACCCAGCAGGCAATTCCCTCCAATATCGCCTCTGTGAAGGCAATTCTGAAAAACATTGACTTCCGAGGTTTTCCTCGGCTAAAATAGAAATACGTTTACATTTCATGAACGAGAGCACACAAGAAAACCAATGAACTAATTACTAAAGTATTCAAACACTTTTCTGGCTGTGAGTTTAGCGATTACAATTGTTAGCTCGCATCGAGCTAGGGATCGTAATTGATGTTTTCTGTACAATGAAAGTACGCATATATGGCTCAACTGCGCATGCGCATCGTCTCTTCTCGTTTTTTGCGCTCATATTTTTTACGTCTATGGAGGGCACAGATAACTCATGCGAACTCGTAAGTGTATATGTGTAAGGGGAGCAGATGGTATGGATAAGGATGGGAAGAACGCTATGTTTTTAAACATCGATAGTTTTAAAAGCGGTTGAGAAATCTATGAAATTAAATTCGGGTGACTATTTTTGTTATTCCAATAAGGTTATAAAGTTTGTTAATAGTTTAGCAATATTTACGGTTTTGTTACCTAAACATCAATTACAAATTAATAAACACGGCTACTCTGGCATGAAATCCTCCCCCTGCATATAAATTCTGATGTTGGAGGTTACTAATATTGTTTTTTCAAACATTATTTACTATTGAGTTGAATTAATGCCTGATTTGACGTGGCGAGACTCAGGCCATGAGACCTGCTCTTCCGTCTGACCGCGCAAATTTCGCTACGCTCCTTGAACGATGTTTCAAAACATGGACGGTTTTGGGCCGATGCACTTCGACCGTCGCTTTTTAAAAGTTGACTATCGACGTGTCGTTGTCCCTGTCCGTGACCTTGAAGGAAGAGTGCGCTTGAATCGCAGCGCGGTGGCCGAGGCTGCTCACCCGGAGCACGTAGCGGCGTCGCGGGAGGCCTGCAGCTGCCCCTGCAGCTGCTGCGTGCGGCGCGTGGCGCTCAGCAGCTCCCGGCGCAGCTCCGCCACGCGCAGCCGCTCCGCCGCCACCGACGCACACAGCTGCTGCTCTGCGCGCGCAAACCCGTCACATCGCACGCCCACTCGCAATGCACACGCAAACATTAACGTACGCGATAGACTCGAGCATTCACAATGCCTAACATACACGTAAGCAAAATTAGTTTCTATTGGCTGTGAGACTTTCTGGTTGGATGTGAGAATCGATTTCAAGATATCGACTCTGTCTAAGTTTCTAATGGCTGTGAGACTTTCTGGTTTGATGTGAGAATCGATTTCAATATATCGACTCTGTCTATGTCTCCTATGGCATCAGTTCTATCGATTTGGCTCCAATTTTGATTTACTCTCGATTTTGAGTTACCTTTCTGTGTTTGGTTCATTTCTTATGTCTTCCGTAAGCATAAGCACAGAAGCTTGAAGCTTGCAAGCTTTTAAGTTAACGTCTTACGTGTTATGCTTATGCGAACGCATTGTGAATGAGTCCGCTTATGGACGAAGTCCTAACTTTTATGTCAACGCCATGCTCATGTTTACTATTGCATTGTGAATGGGCCTTTACACTACGCAGGCACTCGAAACGGTCTCACAGTTCCCCAGAGCATAGAGCGGGAGCCGGCTGGGGATATGCCCCGTTGGTAGCAGATACCTGGTTGGGGGGAAACCCACGAAATCTTATATGTAGGTCTGCGCCAGATCTAGCCATCCAGCAGCGGATGATCATCTCTGCAGCAAGCGATAAAACATGCACTACACTTGATGTTTGCCATAGTTGACGCGCTCGGAATCACTAATCGATCAATCCAAACGTTGCACACGTAAGCTTCCGCGGCTCGAATCCCTAAATTCTCGGCTCCGGTCACTTCACACGTCGTGACACGTCACGGCCTTGAAGAAGCCTGCGATAGGTCAGCTGAAACGTCGGCCTCCCAGCCAACGACGCGGCGTCTCCCGGATAACCAAGAATTTATCAATCACAACGTTCTTACTTTGACTGTATAATTTGCAAGTATTTGATTGTGTTGATAGATTAATTGGTGGTTACTTGCGCAGCAAAGGATAAGATCATTAGTCCCGTAAGTGTGGTGCAGGAGGTGGCGGTGATCTTTCGCCGGATGGTCATATCCAGCGCCGACCTACCCGCCGGCCTGCGGGATTTTTCCCCAACCAGGCTTCTCCCATCAGTGCAGCAACGCCCCAGCTTAGGAAAAGTTGTCGTTTTCTGCCGTATACCCAGGCGGTCGCCGAAATGTATAGCTATGACATTAGGCGTTTGTGGTATTAGCAGAGTTCTGCTTAATACAATGTGTAATACCATCTTATATGAAAATTCTCCAAAAATATTTTTCGTGGTACTGTTGTGTTAAATAACCTGAACTCAACGAAATAAAGAACAGAAAAGCTCTTAACGGCCGTTCAGTAATTAACGGTCCCCTAAGAACAATGGTGATATGGCGATATGAACAAATGAATTGTGTTAAACATGGCAGATGAATTCTTCTACCCTCTCGTAATTATTTTATATTTTCTGGTATGAAGATCGTATGACGAAAAGAATTGAATGATTCTCAATCGATTTAACAATAACAAACTTGGTTTATCAGAATGCTCGGTTAATTTTCTTTAGTTTGAAAATGGAAATATTGTACTCCTTGCGTTTATAATCTTTAGTTTCCTTTATCCCCTAATGAGGGGATCCTAAATCCAAAATTGTTTGATTGTAAAATATCTCGTTATTTAAAACAAATTGGTTTCAATAATATTATCTTTATTTTATAATTTATTATAGTACGCCTCGATCTCTTGTATTCCATCGCAAATTTAAAAATTCAATTTTTCCATCCTATTTGAAGCCCAGTACAACTTGTCCTCTACATACTTGTACATTTAAATATGACGGCAGTACCGAAACTCCGTCACTTTGAACCGTTTAGGGGAGGGTCTGGAGGAAACACTTCTTTGAATGGTTTACAAACTTCATCTGCGACCGTTCTTTGCTCTTTATCGAACTGGCGACGTTAATAACTTTAACGACTGATTTTCACGTGTGGGTCATAGCTAGTATTTCATCACCCGTTTCTGTAGGGAGACCGATACTTACCATGCAAAAAGTTGAACAACGATATATGATGTTTTAGTTTACATTGTATTGTATAATTTTTTAAAAAGTACTTAATATGCCCTTAGAAAGTAATGTACTTCTGCTTCCGGGTCAATGACCCTCATCTCAATCACATTTTTTCCCTGACTTCCTGATTCGTCGTTTAGTATGTCGTTTGTAAGGTGACTCATCGTTTTGCTTCTAGACATAAATGTACCTTCACTACTCGCACGTTTTCTTGAGTTCTGCTTTTGAGAGGTAGAAGTAGGGCCGAGGGTGTGGGTTACTATTTTGTTAGAAATAAAAAAAAAATCAGGTTCCCCATCTCTATCAGGTTTTTGCCCAGTTTCCTTGATTCATTGAGCAAATGCTGAGATGGCCCTTTGTTTTGCTTCTGGACTCAAATGTAGCTTCACTATGCGCACGTTTTGTTGAACTCTCCTTTTGCTTGTAGTGGTGGGAGTAGAGGTAAGGGCGAGTTACTATTTTGTTAGCAATGCAGAAAATCTTCAGTTCATTTACCGATGCAAATAAGTTTTCTATAACTTGGAAGCGAAAATGTCTAGTTTTCAAATGTTGCTAACCGGACTTTTTTGAAACTAATATTCATCATTCAACTATTTATAGTTAGAATGAGGGGAATCGATTCTGGAGCTCCAGAAAATATGCGCAGATCGTACTGATTCCCCATACGTCACATACAGTTCAACTATTCTTTGGCTAAATGAATTACATCAAATCAAGTCACCTTTCTGCGCATGCGCCTGGGCCTCTGCCTGCATCTCCTGCAGCTGTTCCTGCAGCTGCTGGTGCAGCTGGTGAAGCTGCTGCTGAAGGTTCTGGATGTGCTGGAATTCCTCTGGCGCTGGGGCTTCTGGCTGGATGTACTCGAGTGGTTGCACCAGCTCGATGGTGCGGCTGGTGGTTTTGGGATGGCCGTCAATGGTCTGGGTCACTTCCTGCTTGATAGAGGACACCACCTGCCAAACAGCCAACTTGCCGTTTTACTAGGTGAACGCACGAAACTATTTGTTTTGTCAGAAAAATATGAAAATATAGAACAAAATAGGAACTTATTTAACATGGGATAAGTGTATATTATGTATCTATTTAGTAATTTAATATTCAGGCAAGGTCCGAAACCTTTTTGACAATCACCTTACTAAATTATTTTTATTTAACTACAATTTAATAAGGTGATTGTTGAAATATTTTAGGACCTGGCCTATATGTTAAATTACGAAAGGAATCGAAGGACAATATGTACCTTACAAAACATATCAAAAACATTTTGCATCAGGTATATTTATAATGTTAAATTTTGTTGCATGAGATCTTTTAAAAACCAGCGGCGTTAGGGGCAAATTTTCAAATTTAAAGGAATGCAGTAAAGCAACATTATAAACGAGCTACATATCTTTTTCCTTTTGGTATAAGAGCAGTATACATTTCTAATTGAATCAAAGTTAATTTTTGGAAATAATTATATTGTGATGACATGGGTATTTGATATCTGAGCGAAAAAAAACTGTTTGACTGTTCTGTTACTCTTTAACTCCCCACTATTCTCTCGCTGCGACACGCTGAATGTGATGACGCAATTATTTGTGCCATAAACGGCAAATAAGTCATAATACGTGCCATAGGCGTCATTTAATGAACAATTTTTCCTAACGGAAAAGATCGTTTGTAATGATGGAATAAAAAATATATACCATGTGGTACACGATATTTTAATATTTTTACTAATTTTTAGTAATTTCAGTAATAAAATAGGATGAGCCACTTGAATGAAAGAATAAGAAAGCCACTTGATTTAAATATTATTTGATTGTTGGCAATATGACTTTCTGGTTGTTGACAAAATGTCATGATTTCGAGATACAAGTCAATTGTTTCTGAGTCAACTTGTAGAATTTCAACATGTATTATTAAGTATGTGTGGTGACCAAATTAGTACCCAAATTATATGTACAGAAGAACCTCTCTAATCAGAACCCTGCAAATCCTAAAAATCGAACAAAATTCTGAATGGAGGAAAAATGAACAAAATAAAAAAAATGCTTATTTGTAATGTAAAGAAAGGATTTTATCATTGCTGTAGAACGAAACAATTAATAATTGAAACACAACTTGTCAACTTGTCGAACGCTTACTGCAGCGGTAACTACGGTGTATATCACATTACGTATCAGTAATTTTCATTCAGAGGAACTTGTAAAATCGGTAATATTTGGCCGCAACGAACTGAATCTGCTTCATGATGCGATCGCCACGCAACGTTGCATTGCCTGGTAATTCTTTAGACGTATTTGTGTACGTACATTTTTTTCTGGAAATCCAAACATTTCTGAATCCGAACAGACCTCAACCCCCCAATTAGTTCGGATTACTGGGATTCTACTGAACATGTTTCTTTGTTTATACGTTACTTATGGTAGTGTAAACGTATGTGTTATTACGTATTCGCATCTTTTTATCTTATGAACTAGCGCGCGATCGTTCAGTCCTGGAATAACGTTTTCGCGGGGGTGGAGCGTGGGTGTGCGCGCGGGGCCAAAGAGGTCGAAGGGGCAAGAGCGCGAGCGCGGGGTTCGATTCCAGGACTGAACGGCCCCTCGCCCGCCCGAGGCTACTTACCGCGCAGTCCTGGAATCGACGCCCGGCGCCGCGAAGGCTAGCGACGCTGCTCCACAGCGGCCATTGCGACTAGCCACTGAACCTATTGGCTCTTAATTGCATTTTCACAACCTTCGGAAGTGGGAATAATGGGTGGTTTCGATTGAATGATTGATTAGTGTCTCTGGGCGCATCAACAGCTAAGGTCGTTAGTCCCGTAAGTGTTGTACATGCTGTATAGCGGTATGTGGCGGTAATCTTCCCCCGCTGAATGGCGACATCCGTTGCCGACCCACCCGTCGGCATGCGGGGTTTTCCCTAACCAGGTATCTCCCATCAGCAAGGCACCGCCCTAGCCGGAACAAGCTCTACGCTCCCGACCGGTCTCCTCGCATGTGTGATAGTCTAGTGCGTGTTAGTGTAAGTGTGTGTAAGTAAGAAGCAAAGAAAGAAGAAGGAAGGGGAAGGAAAGATCGCGCGTGGTCCGTGGCCCGTTGGTTAGGGTTCTGATGCGGTATTCACCTGGTATTGATGGAAGAAATCACGGAAAACCACCGATCAAAGCAGCTAGCCGCTAGAATTCTCCTCCAGACAGTGACAGAGCTCGACCTTGCTAGCATGCTAGTGTCGATAATCCTGCTACCATCTGGACTCAAATCCTAGGACCTCACGGTCAGAGGTACTGCAGTGGCATCAGTTGATGACCTAAGCCACCTAAGCAGGTTTTAACTATATTGACATTTTTGGTAAATGAGTAGTGGGTAATTTCACAAGTGCTTTGGAAAGTATTGATAAATACACAAGGCGAGGTGCGTCGAATGAATTCCTCTGGAAAGCTTCAAAGCACAAGAAATATTTACGAAGATTCTTGAACGAAGAATGTTGCAAAAATTGAAGAGCGAGAAGAAAAAAGGAGAATAAAGGAACAAAAAGGAGAGAAGAAGAATGTTGAGAGGAGAAAAATAGGGGGAGGACTGAGAAGAGGAGGCGGAGGAAAAGAAAATGGAGGAGGAGAGGGAAAGAAAGTAAGAATAGGAAGAGAGCAAGAGTGAGGAGTAGCAGGAATAGGAGGAGAGCGAGCGGAAGAATGAGAAGTAAAAGTAGGAAGAGGGAGAGCAAGAATGAGGAAATGCAAGAGGAATTGTGGGAGAAAAAGAAAGAGAAGTAAAAATAGAAGGAGGAGGAGGAGAAAGAGAATTCACCATGTTTGTGAAATAATTATTTGTCAACTGTATTATGTAAGGTTTCATTGTTAACAAAATGATAATTACAGCGTGGAGCTGGTAATTAGAAAGAGATAGTTTTTCAAGTATAATTCCCAGCTGATTGGTTTGTGAAGTCCTAAAAATTTGCACTTCAAAAGATGAATACAGCCTGTAATTTCAATATGAAACGACGTAAAAGACGGAAATCACGTTTCTTAGGGATCTTTTGTAGATCGAAATACGTAGAGCACTATTTTTTAGAGAGGTGCTAGTAGAAGGCAGAGCTGGAAGAAAACGTTAAAATACTCTCAATTGCTGTAACAATAAAAAGTTATGAGATTGTAGATATACGAAGTTCTTTACAAATACTTCTCAATCAATACTACTATCGACAATTTCTGCAATTTGATGCTCTTGCGTGAAATTCATCTTGCAGTTCGTTGTTTCGTTACAGGCAAACCAAAGACATTGCAAGTGCATTACATATTCTGATATGTAATCCTTCAAAGGATCCTTCAATGCCACAAAGTTTTAGCTGATATTACGGATAGTGTTGCTATTATTACCGTTCAAATGTTTACCAAAGGTTTTGTAAAGGGACAAAATAGTACAGAGAGATGCAAAAAATGTTTATGTAATATTCGTTATTTTAGATTAATGACGTTTTGATTCCTTAATTTGGAATCTTCTTCAGATAATTCATTTTCCAAGAAAACGCGTTGACATGTTCACTGAGTTGGCATGTATGGTGGACCTAATTTATAGAATTTTTAACCTCTCGTGCCAGTGAGTCATATTTTTTTTAAAAAAGGATTGGTTGTTGATTTCCTTGTCCGTATTTTGAAAAAACTTTTCTTAAAGGACTGCCATGACAGGAAAGCACTGACTTCTGCATGCTAGTGGGGTGGTTTGGACGATGCGTGCTTTTACTTAGCAAGTGAGTGAGTCTGTCACGTCAAAGTCATCGCAGGCGTTGTGCTGTCACAACAATCATCACAGAACGTGTGTCGGTGCTGCCTTGCTGTCGCAATTCTTCAAGGCCATCAGCTCTTCAGATGTATTCTCCGAGATTACAATTATGAACAATTTAGGCATTTTGAGATCGGTGGATAACAAAAATTCGATACCGAATCGGAAAGACGTTGTTTGCAGTATTGGCATGGCTTTACGATGTTCAGCGGCTTCTGAAAAGAGCGCTCTGAGTGTCTTAATAAAGTATTTTGTTAAGTTTGGACCCGTTTAATAGAGTTATAGATTGACGAATCTTTTTGTCGCATTTTTATGTATCTAAGATATTTACACCATTGATACAGCTCAGAGATAGTTATATTTTTCTTTTGTTTCACGTTCGGTGTTATTTTTTGCGTTCGCCTATTGAATTAAGAGATCCGCTGTTAAAAAAAATAGGCCCTCCATTGAAACTGAACGTTGTTCCAGGACTATGGTAAAGTATCTGCCTGAAAAATAAAGTGGCGTAGTGGTGGGAGGAAAAAAACATTCTGATACATTTCAAAGACAACAAATTTCTTCCGATTTGGCGAGCTACATTGCAATAGTGCGATCTGCGCACTGTTGGCGTTTCACTTTTACGTCATAAACTTAGAAATAGACCTAAGTTTTGGCGAGACGTATGATAGGAAATGAGAACGCCCATTTCTAAGAAAAGTCGGCCTTTATTGGCGCACGTGTGGCCAGGGAACAGATGGAAATGTTACAGGCTACGTGAGGGTATGTAGTAAAAAACGTCCCACAGTCCGCTCCAAAGTTCGCATGGTTTCGGCGCGACAGTAAACGGCGGAGGGGACCGTAGGCAAAGTGGTCCGCTGGCGCGTGGCGGGTCAGACGGGGGGCACATGCACGTGGCAGGCGCAGGGCGTGCGCGCCGGGCGCACCTGTCGGCCCGCGCCGGCGGCGGCGGAGGCGGCGACGCGGTCCAGGGCGGCAGTGAGGCGCCGGATCTCGTCCTCCTGGTCCGCCACCGCGCACTCCAGCTCGCACTTGAGGCGCAGCAGCTGGTCGCGCTCCTCCTGCGGCAGCGGCGCGCGCAGCTTTTACACAGCGGCTACACTACGTGCCGGGCCGAAAACATGGACCTCCAAGCTCGCTGTGGCAGACGGCTACACTGCACACCGTGTCAAAAACA